GCTGCTGCCTTGGCAGGAACTAATGGGGATCCATAATAAACCCCAGGAAGAGTAGCTGCTGCCTTGGCAGGAACTAATGGGGATCCATAATAAACCCCAGGAAGAGTAGCTGCTGCCTTGGCAGGAACTAATGGGGATCCATAATAAACCCCAGGAAGAGTAGCCGCTGCCTTGGCAGGAACTAATGGGGATCCATAATAAACCCCAGGAAGAGTAGCCGCTGCCTTGGCAGGAACTAATGGGGATCCATAATAAACACCAGGAAGAGTAGCTGCTGCCTTGGCAGGAACTAATGGGGATCCATAATAAACCCCAGGAAGAGTAGCTGCTGCCTTGGCAGGAACTAATGGGGATCCATAATAAACCCCAGGAAGAGTAGCTGCTGCCTTGGCAGGAACTAATGGGGATCCATAATAAACCCCAGGAAGAGTAGCTGCTGCCTTGGCAGGAACTAATGGGGATCCATAATAAACCCCAGGAAGAGTAGCTGCTGCCTTGGCAGGAACTAATGGGGATCCATAATAAACCCCAGGAAGAGTAGCTGCTGCCTTGGCAGGAACTAACGGGGATCCATAATAAACCCCAGGAAGAGTAGCCGCTGCCTTGGCAGGAACTAATGGGGATCCATAATAAACCCCAGGAAGAGTAGCTGCTGCCTTGGCAGGAACTAATGGGGATCCATAATAAACCCCAGGAAGAGTAGCCGCTGCCTTGACAGGAACTAATGGGGATCCGTAATGAATACAAATACAAAATGTCGGCCTCTCTTTCGGCTTCTGTTTCTGTTTACCCTCCATAGGACGGTAAAGCATGGTGGTGTATGTCTGGCTGGGTGTGGCAGCATGGTGGTGTATGTCTGGCTGGGTGTGGCAGCATGGTGGTGTATGTCTGGCTGGGTGTGGCAGCATGGTGGTGTATGTCTGGCTGGGTGTGGCAGCATGGTGGTGTATGTCTGGCTGGGTGTGGCAGCATGGTGGTGTATGTCTGGCTGGGTGTGGCAGCATGGTGGTGTATGTCTGGCTGGGTGTGGCAGCATGGTGGTGTATGTCTGGCTGGGTGTGGCAGCATGGTGGTGTATGTCTGGCTGGGTGTGGCAGCATGGTGGTGTATGTCTGGCTGGGTGTGGCAGCATGGTGGTGTATGTCTGGCTGCAGGAGATACGCATTAAGCACTTGGAGGTGGGAGTCCTTGCCTGGACCAGCCCAGCCGGATGGCTCCTGTTCTCTCCTGTCCTGATTATAGTCCTGTACTGTAGACTTGCCATTAGTGCTTTTTGAGGTCGGTTCGGTTATTACAAAATAATGACATTAAAAGGATTTTCTGAGCTTTTTAATGGAAATTCCAAAGCCAAAAATAGTGAACATTCAATTGTCTCTACCAGGTCCACATTGGTAGACATCAGTAGAAAAATAGGAAATTACTATTAAATAATACCATATTTCAGTTGTGTGTATATATATATATATATTTTTTTTTTGGAGGACTTTGTTTTCCATTCCTTGAAGTCGTCATCTAATCTCTGCTCAGGCAGTAGCAGGCAGCCAACCCTCTAACGTTATCTCTGTGCTCCCCATACTGTCCTGTCTTTGAGATAGTATGCTGCAGAGTCATTTGACTAGTTATTACAAGTACATTAGGCATCCTTTCAGGACCGCTTATTACCGACTACTAAAACTATCAATTAGGTAGAGCTACAGGGCCTTCAGAAAGTATCCACACCCCAGGACTTATTCCACATGTTGTTGTGTTACAGCCTGAATTCAAAATGACATCAATGACAAAGCAAAAACATGTTTTTAGACATTTATTGAAAATGAAATACAGAAATGTCTCATTTACATAAGTATTCACACCCCTGAGTCAATACATGTTAGAATCACCTTTGGCAGCGATTACAGCTGTGAGTCTTTCTGGGTAAGTCTCTTTTAAGAGTTTTGCACACATGGATTGTGAAATAATATTAATAATATTTAATAATATATTCTGGATTGAATATTTGCACATTTGTATTTTCAAAATTCTTCACTGTCAAATTGTTTCTTGATCGTTGCTAGACAACCATTTTCAGGTCTTGCCATACATTTTCAAGTAGATTTAAGTCAAAACTAACTCGGCCACTCAGGAACATTCACTGTCTTCTTGGTAAGCAACTCCAGTGTAGATTTGGCCTTGTGTTTTAGGTTATTGTCCTGCTGAAAGGTGAAGTCATCTCCCAGTGTCTGGTGGAAAGCAGACTGAACCATAACATGATGCAGCCACCACCATGCTTGGAAATATGAAGAGTGGTACTCAGTGATGTTGGATTTGTCCCAAACATAACACTTTGTATTCAGGACATAAAGTGAATTTCTTAGCTACATTTTTGGCTGTTTTACATTAGTGCCTTATTGCAAACAGGATGCATGTTTTGGAATATTTGTATTCTGTACAGGCTTCCTTCTTTTCACTCTGTCATTTAGGTTAGTATTGTGGAGTAACTACAATGTTGTTGATCCATCCTCAGTTTTCTCCTATCACAGCCATTAAACTCTAACTGTTTTGAAGTCACCATTGGCCTCATGGAGAAATCCCTGAGCAGTTTCCTTCCTCTCCTGCAGCTAAGTTAGGAAAGATGCCTGTATCTTTGTAGTGACTGACACCATCCAAAGTGTAATTAGTAACTTCACCATGCTCAAAGGGATATTCAATGTCAGTTTTTTTTACCCTTCTATCAATAGGTGCCCTTCTTTGCGAAGCATTGGAAAACCTCCCTGGTCTCTGTGGTTGAATCTGTGTTTGAAATTCACTGTTCCACTGAGGGACCTTACAGATAATTGTATGTGTAGGCTACCCTATTGTACACAGTGTTGAGTCCATACAACTTATTATGTGATTTGTTAAGCACATTTTTACTCCTGAACTTATTTAGGCTAAAAACATAATTCCACTTCGACATTATGGGGTATTATGTGTAGGCCAGTGACACAAAACATCTACATTTTATCCATTTTAAATTCAGGCAAAACAACAAAATGTGGAATAAGTCAAGGAGTATGAATACTTTCTGAAAGCACTGATATATACAGGGTTGGATCTAGATGTCAGCTCGTTGATATATACAGGGTTATATCAGGGTTGTATATAGATTGATGTCAGCTAGCTGATATTCACTACATGACCAAAAGTATGTGGACACCTGCTCATCGAACATCTCATTCCAAAATCATGGGCATTAATATGGAGTTGGTCCCCCCTTTGCTGCTATAACAGCCTCCACTCTTCTGCGAAGGCTTTCCACTAGATGTTGGAACATTGCTGCGGGGACTTGCTTCCATTCAGCCACAAGACCATTAGTGAGGTCGGTCACTGATGTTGGGCGATTAGGCCTGGCTCGCAGTCGGCATCCAATTGAACCCAAAGGTGTTCGATGGGGTTGAGGTCAGGGCTCTGTGCAGGCCAGTCAAGTTCTTCCACCCCGATCTCGACAAACCATTTCTGTATGGACCTGGCTTTGTGCACGGGGGGGCATTGTCATGCTGAAAGAGGAAAGGGCCTTCCCCAAACTGTTGCCACAAAGTTGGAAACATGGAATTGTCTAGAATGTCATTGTATGCTGTAGCTTTAAGATTTCTGTATTTCATTGTCAATAATTTTGGAAAATTTCGAAAAACATGTTTTCACTTTGCCATTATGGGGTGTTGTCCATTTTGAATTCTGGCTGTAACACAACAAAATGTGGAATAAGTCCAGGGGTGTGAATATTTTCTAAAGGCCCTGTATTTGACGTAGTAAGCAATTTTTTGGGGAAAACATTTTTGGCGCTATTTTCAGAACTACTGGCTAAAAAGTATACAAAAGTACGATAGAATCCCTTTTAAATGGATTTCAGATCTGCTATCTTGGCCTGTCGGGTCCCCCACATAGGGCTGTAGAGCTGCTGTCGGATCCCCCACATAGGGCTGTAGAGCTGCTGTCGGATCCCCCACATAGGGCTGTAGAGCTGCTGTCGGATCCCCCACATAGGGCTGTAGAGCTGCTGTCGGATCCCCCACATAGGGCTGTAGAGCTGCTGTCGGGTCCCCCACATAGGGCTGTAGAGCTGCTGTCGGATCCTCCACATAGGGCTGTAGAGCTGCTGTCGGGTCCCCCACATAGGGCTGTAGAGCTGCTGTCGGGTCCCCCACATAGGGCTGTAGAGCTGCTGTCGGATCCCCCACATAGGGCTGTAGAGCTGCTGTCGGGTCCCCCACATAGGGCTGTAGAGCTGCTGTCGGGTCCCCCACATAGGGCTGAGAGCTGCTGTCGGGTCCCCCACATAGGGCTGTAGAGCTGCTGTCGGATCCCCCACATAGGGCTGTAGAGCTGCTGTCGGGTCCCCCACATAGGGCTGTAGAGCTGCTGTCGGGTCCCCCACATAGGGCTGTAGAGCTGCTGTCGGGTCCCCCACATAGGGCTGTAGAGCTGCTGTCGGATCCCCCACATAGGGCTGTAGAGCTGCTGTCGGGTCCCCCACATAGGGCTGTAGAGCTGCTGTCGGGTCCCCCACATAGGGCTGTAGAGCTGCCACAGAAACACATGCTGGAGCATCTGATGCTGAGCTTGGTTTGCTCCTATGGATGATGGAATCAAAATGTTATCCCAAAAGAAGTTTGAAACTACTAAAGGAATCATGTTTGGTAATGAAACTGTATCTCTACTGCTCACCACACCTAATATGTCTCTTTCTGTCTTTCTGTCTTTCTCTATGTCTCTCTCTATGTCTCTCTCTCTCTGTGTCTCTGTCTGTGTCTCTCTCTCTCTCTCTGTGTCTCTCTCTCTGTCTCTCTCCCCCCTCTCTCACTCTCTCTCTCTCTCTCTCCCCCCCCCCCCCCCCCTCTCTCTCTCTCTCTCTCTCTGTGTCTCTGTCTCTGTCTGTCTCTGACTCTCTCTCAGATGAGACAGAGCTGAAGGACTGTCTGACGGTGCTGATAGAGGACCAACAGAAGCTATCGGCCCAGATGGCTAAGAGCACGCTGTCTGCCATGCGTCTGCGCCAGCGCCTGGTCATCCTAGAGAGATACCTTATATCGCTGAGCCACAGCATGATGGAAGAGAAGTACAAGGTCCGCTGGAAGATCCCCCCCAGCCCCCCTCTACCCATCGTAGACAACAAGAGGTACAGGAAGCATCTAATTTCACTGTAAACTGAAACGCTGATCCACTAGTGCAAGTGATAGTACAGGAAGCGGCAGCCATGGTTCTCTCATCTCACTGTTAGCTACACTGACTGGGCCACACTAGTGCAAGTGATTCATCTGAAACATTCCCCCTTAGACGATCAGCTGGATCTGTGTCATGTGTCATCTTGATTGAGTGGAGTTAAAGGTGTGTCTCTCTCTCTAGCGCCCGGCCAGCCAGTAAGGGTGTGGAGGGTCTGGCCAGAGTCGGCTCCAGAGCAGCGCTCTCCTTTGCCTTTGCCTTTCTACGACGAGCCTGGAGGTCTGGTAAGCATCCTCGCTAGACATAGCCCTTCACTTAGTCTTTATGAAGCATCCTCTCTAGACATAGCCCTTCACTTAGTCTTTATGAAGCATCCTCTCTAGACATAGCCCTTCACTTAGTCTTTATGAAGCATCCTCTCTAGACATAACCCTTCACTTAGTCTTTATGAAGCATCCTCTCTAGACATAGCCCTTCACTTAGTCTTTATGAAGCATCCTCTCTAGACATAGCCCTTCACTTAGTCTTTATGAAGCATCCTCTCTAGACATAGCCCTTCATTTAGTCTTTATGAAGCATCCTCTCTAGACATAACCCTTCACTTAGTCTTTATGAAGCATCCTCTCTAGACATAACCCTTCACTTAGTCTTTATGAAGCATCCTCTCTAGACATAACCCTTCACTTAGTCTTTATGAAGCATCCTCTCTAGACATAACCCTTCACTTAGTCTTTATGAAGTATACTCTCTCGACATAACCCTTCACTTAGTCTTTATGAAGCATCCTCTCTAGACATAACCCTTCACTTAGTCTTTATGAAGCATCCTCTCTAGACATAACCCTTCACTTAGTCTTTATGAAGCATCCTCTCTAGACATAACCCTTCACTTAGTCTTTATGAAGCATCCTCTCTAGACATAACCCTTCACTTAGTCTTTATGAAGCATCCTCTCTAGACATAGCCCTTCATTTAGTCTTTATGAAGCATCCTCTCTAGACATAACCCTTCACTTAGTCTTTATGAAGCATCCTCTCTAGACATAACCCTTCACTTAGTCTTTATGAAGCATCCTCTCTAGACATAACCCTTCACTTAGTCTTTATGAAGCATCCTCTCTAGACATAACCCTTCACTTAGTCTTTATGAAGCATCCTCTCTAGACATAACCCTTCACTTAGTCTTTATTAAGCCTCCTTTACTGGTGACATCACATAGTCAACATGGTCCAGAGTATCAGACCCTCCGCTGTCCCCTTCTACCCTCCCCAGTCCCCCTCTACTCTCCCCAGTCCCCCTCTACTCTCCCCAGTCCCCCTCTACTCTCCCCAGTCCCCCTCTACTCTCCCCAGTCCCCCTCTACCCTCCCCAGTCCCCCTCTACTCTCCCCAGTCCCCCTCTACTCTCCCCAGTCCCCCTCTACCCTCCCAGTCCCCCTCTACTCTCCCCTGTCCCCCTCTACTCTCCCCAGTCCCCCCTCTACTCTCCCCCAGTCCCCCTCTACTCTCCCCAGTCCCCCATCTACTCTCCCCAGTCCCCCTCTACTCTCCCCAGTCCCCCTCTACTCTCCCAGTTCCCCCCTCTACCCCTCTCATAGCCCCCTCTACTCTCCCCAGTCCCCCTCTCCCCCTCCCCCTCTACCCTCTCATATCCCCCTCTACTCTCCCCAGTCCCCCTCTACTCTCCCCCAGTCCCCCTCTACTCTCCCCAGTCCCCCTCTACTCTCCCCAGTCCCCCTCTACCCCCCCCAGTCCCCTCTACTCTCCCCAGTCCCCTCTACTCTCCCCAGTCCCCCCTACTCTCCCCAGTCCCCCTCTACTCTCCCCCAGTCCCCCCTCTACTCCTCCCCAGTCCCCCTCTAACCCTCCCCCAGTCCCCCCTCTACCTCCCCCCATCCCCCTCTACTCTCCCCAGTCCCCCCTCTACTCTCCCCAGTCCCCCCTCTACTCTCCCCATTCCCCCCTCTACTGCTCCCCAGTCCCCCTCTAACCCTCCCCAGTCCCCCTCTACTCTCCCCCAGTCCCCCCCTCTACTCTCCCCAGTCCCCCTCTACTCTCCCCAGTCCCCCCTCTACCCTCTCATATCCCCCTCTACTCTCCCCAGTCCCCCTCTCCCCAGTCCCCCTCTACCCTCTCATATCCCCCTCTACTCTCCCCAGTCCCCCTCTACTCTCCCCAGTCCCCCTCTACTCTCCCCAGTCCCCCTCTACTCTCCCCCAGTCCCCCCTCTACCCCCCCTGTCCCCCTCTCCCCAGTCCCCCTCTACCCTCCCCAGTCCCCCTCTACTCTCCCCAGTCCCCCTCTATTTTCAGCATCACTATATTTATATGGTTTATTTGACAACGTTTATACTAATCAGTGAAGCATCAACACATTTGTCAAATTATTAGCTTTATTATATATATATATATATACAGTTACATATTGCGCTATTATTCTGAACGATATTGTCCTGAACAAAAATATAAATGCAACATGTAAAGTGCTGGTCCCATGTTTCATGAGCTGAAATAAAAGATCCCAGAAATGTTCCATACGCACAAAAAGCGTATTTCTCTCAAATGTTGTGCACAAATTTGTTTACATCCCTGTTAGTGAGCATTTCTCCTTTGCCAAGATAATCCATCCACTTGACAGGTGTGGCATATCAAGAAGCTGATTAAACAGCATGATCATTACACAGGTGCACCTTGTGCTGGGGACAATAAAAGGCCACTCTAAAATGTGCAGTTTTGTCACACAACACAATGCCACTGATGTCTCAAGTTTTGAGGGAGTGGGCAATTGGCATGCTGACTGCAAGAAAGTCCACCAGAGCTGTTGCCAGAGAATTTAATGTTAATTTCTCTACAATAAGCCGCCTCCAAAGTCGTTTTAGAGAATTTGCCAGTACGCCCAACCAGCCTCAGAACCGCAGACCACGTGTAACCACACCAGCCCAGGACCTCCACATCCGGCTTCTTCCCCAGGGGACTCGTCTGAGAACAGCCACCCAGACAGCTGATGAAACTGAGGAGTATTTATGTCTGTAATAAAGCCCTTTTGTGGAGAAAAACTCATTCAGTGGGTGGGCCTGGCTCCCAGGTGGGTTGGCCTATGGCTGTGCCCCTGCCCAGTCATGTGAAATCCATAGATTTTGTATTTTGTGTATTTATTATGGATCCCCATTAGTTCCTGCCAAGGCAGCAGCTACTCTTCCTGGGGTTTATTATGGATCCCCATTAGTTCCTGCCAAGGCAGCAGCTACTCTTCCTGGGGTTTATTATGGATCCCCATTAGTTCCTGCCAAGGCAGCAGCTACTCTTCCTGGGGTTTATTATGGATCCCCATTAGTTCCTGTCAAGGCAGCAGCTACTCTTCCTGGGGTTTATTATGGATCCCCATTAGTTCCTGCCAAGGCAGCAGCTACTCTTCCTGGGGTTTATTATGGATCCCCATTAGTTCCTGCCAAGGCAGCAGCTACTCTTCCTGGGGTCCTGCAACATTAAGGCAGTTATATACAATTTAAAATATTACCTGACATTATATTTCATAACACTTTACCCAATATATTTAGATTAGGGCCTAATGAATTTATTTCAATTGATTGAATTCGTGATGTGAACTGTAACTCGTTGAAATTGTTGCATGTTGCACCGTCATCTGATGCCACCTTTCCAACAAGTCAGTTCGTCAAATTTCTGCCCTGCTAGAGTTGCCCCGGTCAACTGTAAGTGCTGTTATTGTGAAGTGGAAACGTCTAGGAGCAACACCGGCTCAGCCGCAAAGTGGAAAGGCTTCCCAGAAGAGTGGAGGCTGTTATAGCAGCAAAGGGGGGACCAACTCCATATTAATGCCCATGATGTTGGAATGAGATGTTCGACATGCAGGTGTCCACATACTATTGGTTGTGTAGTGTTTATAATTAATTTATTCATTACAAATATTTTATCTGGGCCAAAAGTAAATTTCATCCTATAGTTTTGTCTCCATCTTCTTTTTAAATAGTGAGCCATCATATGTTTTCAGCACTTTTATTTCCATGACTGATTTTAAAACTAATTTTTCTCATGTTCTCTCTTGTCTCTCTGCAACAGAACAATATGTTCTGAACATCAAGTCGCAGTATCGCATCGCAATACGTATAGAATCGTGAGAATCACAATACATATCATATCGGCACCTAAGTATGGTGATAATATCGTATCGTGGGGTCCCTGGCAGTTCCCAGCCCTAGTGTCCAGTATGTCTAACATATTGGTGCTTTGATCAGGTGACGATGCGGACCTGTGCAGTGAGCTGCTCCAGGAGTCCCTGGATGCTCTGCGAGCCCTCCCAGAAGCCACTCTGTTTGACGAGGGCACCGTGTCGTCTGTCTGGCTGGAGGTCGTGGAGAGAGCCACCAAGTTCCTCAGGTCAGTAGAACATGCTGCCTGGGTTGTCCCGGCACTGACTTCCTGCCAGTTCCTCAGGCCTTCCTGCTGCCTGGGTTTTCAGTGATGTCCATGGTTCTGCCAGTGATGGTGTTATTTAAACTGTGCGGTTGGTTTTCAGTGATGTCCATGGTTCTGCCAGTGATGGTGTTATTTAAACTGTGCGGTTGGTTTTCAGTGATGTCCATGGTTCTGCCAGTGATGGTGTTATTTAAACTGTGCGGTTGGTTTTCAGTGATGTCCATGGAAGTGGAAGCACCAAAGGCAGCATCCCACTACAGGACCAACACCTGGCCCTGGCCATCCTGCTAGAGCTGGCAGTGCAGAGAGGCACTCTGAGGTAAGACTCCTACAGGACACTGATACTCAACTCTAGGATTGGGGTGATATACCATATATACTGGGATTTTACGAAATACCGACCGTATGATTTTCAACGGGGGGGTTGGGGGGCAGCGGGGGGCTGTGGGGGTGCGTGCTACGCCACTGCTTATATCTATGTTAAGTATAACTGTAAGAAATATTAAGATGTGTCAAATAAATGATATCCAGCTCAGGGCTCCAGCTATGTGTTTGGTTTGCTAAGTGGCTAGATGTCAAGATACTCCAATGCCTTTTGAGATAGAGGCGAGGAAAAAATCAAATACTTTTTGGGATGCACTCTCTGTGACTGCACCTACCACACTCCTCATATCATACAGTACCAGACCTCTCCGACCTGTCCTGTCTCCAGCCAGCTACTGTCTGCATCTGTAGCTCAGCTGGTAGAGCACGGCGCTTGGTCCTCTGTAGCTCAGCTGGTAGAGCACGGCGCTCGGTCCTCTGGAGCTCAGCTGGTAGAGCACGGCGCTCGGTCCTCTGGAGCTCAGCTGGTAGAGCACGGCGGTCCTCTGTAGCTCAGCTGGTAGAGCATGGCGCTTGGTCCTCTGTAGCTCAGCTGGTAGAGCACGGCGCTTGGTCCTCTGTAGCTCAGCTGGTAGAGCACGGCGCTTGGAACGCCAGGGTAGTGGGTTCGATCCCCGGGACCACCCATACACTAAAAAATGTATGCATGCATGACTAAGTCGCTTTGGATAAAAGCGTCTGCTAAATGGCATATTATTATTATTATTATTATTATTATTATTATCTGTGGGACAGCACTTACCATGTCCATAGTATCATACCCTAACTACTCTCTTCTCCAGCCAGCTGCTGTCTGCCGTCCTCCTCCTCCTGCGGCTGTGGGACAGCGGGACCAGGGAGATGGACAATGAGCGCTCCACCCAGGGGACCAGCGCACCCCTCCTCCCCCTCCTGCAGCGCTTTCACAACATCCACAGCAGCAAGGAGGAGCCCGGCCCTGAGGAGGAGATGGAGGTGAGCTCAGGGCCTGTTTTCATAAAGCTTCTCTGTAAAAGCTGATTTTTTTAGGTTAGGTTTTGCCTCTTTAGATCAGAATCAATAAGATGACATGATCCTAGAGCAGGACTCCTACTCTGAGACACCTGATACATACAGTCCCTGGTCTCATTATAGAGGATCCTTACTCTCCTCTTCCTGGTCCATTGCCTCAAAATACATTTGTTTGTCCATCTTCTAAACTAAACTAAATGTAAGTACTAAGCTTAGCAGATACAGTGCCTTCAGAAAGTATTCACACCCCCAATGACTTTATCCACATTTTGTTGTGTTACAGCCTGATTTTTAAAATGGATGAAATTTAGATTATTTTTTTTGTCACTGGCCTAAACAAAATACCCCATAATGTCAAAGTGGAAGTATGTTTTTCGGAAAGCTGAAATGTCTTGAGTCAAGTATTCACCCCCTTTGTTATGGCAAGCCTAAATAACTTAAGGAGTTCTACTAAGCTATATATAATTGTTTAAAGAAGGTAACAGTCTCCATATATACTTCCATAAATGTTTTCAACTGGTACCGAGGAACCTTCAGACGAGTCTTGTGAGGCATGTGGGCGTCCTAGAGCAAAACAACCGACGTACGTGCTTGTGAGAGCCACCCTTTGCCTTGATGACAGCTTTGCACACACTTGGCATTCTCTCAACCAGCTTCACCTGGAATGCTTTTCCAACAGTCTTGAAGGAGTTCCCACATATGCTGAGCACTTGCTGGCTGCTTTTCTGAGAAAAAAACATCAATTGAATCCATTGTGAATTCAAGCTGTGGCACAGTAAAATGTGGAATAAGTCAAGGGATATGAATACTTTCTGAAGGCACTGTACCTCTCTAGTTCAGCTCGTTACCTGTATAAAAGACACCTGGGAGCCTGGATTTAAATGCTTTTTTCCCTCACTGTACTTTCTAAAGGCACTGTACCTCTCTAGTTCACATATCTATCTGTGTTCTTCCACTCCAGATCCTGGGGTCCCCTCTGAGTCCCAATGAGAGTTTCTTGCGCTACCTGACGCTGCCCCAGGACAATGACTTGGCTATCGACCTGAGACAGACGGCTGTGGTCATCATGGCTCACCTGGACCGCCTGGCCGCCCCCTGCTCCCCCCCGCAGTGCAGCTCCCCCACCTCTCACAAGGTACCACTACCGTCTGGACTTGGCCCTGCTCTTGAGTGCTGTACACTGTTAAGACAGCTCTACTCAGCCTCCCTGTCTTAAGCTCTACTCAGCCTCCCTGTCTTAAGCTCTACTCAGCCTCCCTGTCTTAAGCTCTACTCAGCCTCCCTGTCTTAAGCTCTACTCAGCCTCCCTGTCTTAAGCTCTACTCAGCCTCCCTGTCTTAAGCTCTACTCAGCCTCCCTGTCTTAAGCTCTACTCAGCCTCCCTGTCTTAAGCTCTACTCAGCCTCCCTGTCTTAAGCTCTACTCAGCCTCCCTGTCTTAAGCTCTCCTCAGCCTCCCTGTCTTAAGCTCTACTCAGCCTCCCTGTCTTAAGCTCTACTCAGCCTCCCTGTCTTAAGCTCTACTCAGCCTCCCTGTCTTAAGCTCTACTCAGCCTCCCTGTCTTAAGCTCTACTCAGCCTCCCTGTCTAAAGCTCTCCTCAGCCTCCCTGTCTTAAGCTCTACTCAGCCTCCCTGTCTTAAGCTCTACTCAGCCTCCCTGTCTAAAGCTCTCCTCAGCCTCCCTGTCTTAAGCTCTACTCAGCCTCCCTGTCTAAAGCTCTCCTCAGCCTCCCTGTCTTAAGCTCTACTCAGCCTCCCTGTCTAAAGCTCTCCTCAGCCTCCCTGTCTTAAGCTCTACTCAGCCTCCCTGTCTTAAGCTCTACTCAGCCTCCCTGTCTTAAGCTCTACTCAGCCTCCCTGTCTTAAGCTCTACTCAGCCTCCCTGTCTAAAGCTCTCCTCAGCCTCCCTGTCTTAAGCTCTACTCAGCCTCCCTGTCTAAAGCTCTCCTCAGCCTCCCTGTCTTAAGCTCTACTCAGCCTCCCTGTCTTAAGCTCTACTCAGCCTCCCTGTCTAAAGCTCTCCTCAGCCTCCCTGTCTTAAGCTCTACTCAGCCTCCCTGTCTTAAGCTCTACTCAGCCTCCCTGTCTTAAGCTCTACTCAGCCTCCCTGTCTTAAGCTCTACTCAGCCTCCCTGTCTTAAGTGTTTCCATTGATCAGCATGGTTATCTGTCAGGCTCACAACCGCTCTCCTCAGATTTAATGGCATGCTGGTCAGGATTAGGGCTGCACAATTAATCAAATTGTAATCAAAATTGCGATATCGACATGTGCAATATCCATATCGCAAGAGACTGCGTTTTTTTTTTGAAATGCTACGTGTTACACGTTTTTATAGTTTACTCTGTCTCTCTCCAGTCTCCCCCTCTCTCTCTCTCTCTCTCGCTGTCTCTCTGTCTCTCTCCCTCTCTCCTTCTGTCTCTCTCCTTCTGTCTCTCTCCTTCTGTCTCTCTCTCTCGCTGTCTCTCTGTCTCTCTCCCTCTCTCCTTCTGTCTCTCTCCTTCTGTCTCTCTCTCTCTCTCTCTCGCTGTCTCTCTGTCTCTCTCCCTCTCCTTCTGTCTCTCTCCTTCTGTCTCTCGCTCGCTCTCTCTCTCGCTCTCTCTCTCTCTCGCTCTCTCGCTCTCTCGCTCTCTCCTCTCTCTCTCTCTCTCTCTCTCTCTCTCTCTCTCTCTCTCTCTCTCTCTCTCTCTCTCTCTCTCTCTCTCTCTCTCTCTCTCTCTCTCTCTCTCTCTCCTCTCTCTCTCTCTCTCGCTCTCTCTCTCTCTCTCTCTCTCTCTCTCTCTCTCTCTCTCTCCCCCCCCCTCTGTCTCTCTCTCTCTCTGTCTCATGCAGCTGCTTGCTTCTGACACATGTGACACACCAAGCCCCACCCCCTATCACACAAGCAGGAACAAATAGCTGCTTCAGTCTGCATGCTTCTGTTAGCTAGCTCATGCAGTCAAGAAACAAGAACGATGCTGCTTTCAGCTTTGCTTCTTCATATCAACCACGTTTTCTGTATTCTACTATTAGCTTGTGTGTCTTTATCTCTGCAAACTGCTAGTTAGTTAGTCTTTAGCAAGCTCCACGTGTCTAATCGCTAACTGGCTAGCTAAATACATTGAGCTAGCAAAGAATATGGCGCTAGGGCAAATCTGACTAGCAAACGTTAGCTCTAATACAGGCTGCTGCCGGTGGTGTTGGCAGCATGTTGGTTGTGCAGCGTCATGCTCTGAATTAGAGAGGAACAGGTGAAGCATATTCAAAGAAATGGGCGGCAGTTAGCCTAGCGTAGCGTTGGGCCAGTAACCGAAAGGTCGCTTGTTCGAATACCCGAGCCGACAAGGTGAAAATTGTATCGGTGCCTTTGAGCAAGGCACTTAACCCTAATTTGCTCCAGAGGCACTGTACTACTACGGCTGACCCTCTAAAACAACACATTACACTGCACCTATCTGGTGTATGTGACAATAACACATTCTACTATACTGACCTTTTCATTAATTGTCATGCCAACCAACGCCAACCATATAATTAGAATAGCCTACTCATTCTATTTCTATGATTCCAACATAATATATATTAATATAATAATATATTATACATGCCAGTTAGCAGACTCTTTTATCCAAAGCGTCATGCATTCATAAATGTTTTTACGTATGGGTGGTCCCGGGAATCCTGGCGAACGAAGTGTTTTTGCTCAAAATCGCAATATTTTGCAATTCGATTTTTGGCCCATATCGTGCAGCCCTAGTAGGATGTTGTGATTGGAGGCCTTTTCTCTGTTGCTAACGTCTCGTGATTGGAGGCCTTTTCTCTGTTGCTAACGTCTCGTGATTGGAGGCCTTTTCTCTGTTGCTAACGTCTCGTGATTGGAGGCCTTTTCTCTGTTACTAACGTCTCGTGATTGGAGGCCTTTTCTCTGTTACTAACGTCTCGTGATTGGAGGCCTTTTCTCTGTTACTAACGTCTCGTGATTGGAGGCCTTTTCTCTGTTGCTAACGTCTCGTGATTGGAGGCCTTTTCTCTGTTACTAACGTCTCGTGATTGGAGGCCTTTTCTCTGTTACTAACGTCTCTCTCTCTCTCTCTGTGCGTTCTGTTGGAGGACCATGGCAACATGCAGGTAAAGGATGAAGCCATGTGTTGTGCATGAAGGACTTGATGTGATGTTTTTATATAGCTTATTCTTGCAACAGTAGGATAACGTTTGCCCTAGAAGTCCCTTTCATGGGGATATGTTGATTACGTTTGCCCTAGAAGTCCCTTTCATGGGGATGTATTTGTATTCATTAGGGATCCCCATTACTGTTCCTGGGGTCCAAACATATTAAAGCACTTACATTACATAGAAAACAAAAGATAAAACAGTACATCATATGACATTATTACACCACTACATATCTACAATACAAAATGTTTAATACCACCATACAACAATATCACAATGTGTGCGTATGCATGTGTCTATACCCTTGTGTGTGTCTCTTCACAGTCCCCGCTGTTCCATAAGGTGTATTTTTATCTGTTTTTTAAATCTGATTCTACTGCTTGCATCAGTTACCTGATGTGGAATAGAGTTCCATGTAGTCATGGCTCTATGTAATACTGTGCTCCTCCCATAGTCTGTTCTGGACTTGGGGACTGTGAAGAGACCTCTGGTGGCATGTCTTGTGGCTTTACTATTCTTAGGTAGCGGAATGACGAGCTTCCCTCCAGGCCGGAGGGCACACACTTTCTAGTAGGCTTAAATTGAAGATGTGGCAAATATCGTCCGCTATTATCCTCAGGAATTTTCCATCCAAGTTGTCAGACCCCGGTGGCTTGTCATTGTTGATAGACAACAATAATGTTTTCACCTCTTCCAAACTGACTTTACGGAATTCAAAAGTACAATTCTTGTATTTCATAATTTGATCCAGTTATACTTGGATGTCTAGTGTCAGCGTTTGTTGCTGGCATGTCATACCTAAGTTTGCTAATCTTGCCAGTGAAAAAATCAGTAAAGTAGTTGGCAATATCAGTCGGTTTTGTGATGAATGAGCCATCTGATTCAATGAATGATGGAGCTGAGTTTGCCTTTTTGCCCAACATTTCATTTAAGGTGCTCCAAAGCTTTTTACTATAGGATAGTTTCTTCTTCTTTTTATTCAGTTTAGTCACATGATTTCTCAATCTGCAGTACGTTTGCCAATCGGTTGTGCAGCCAGACTTATTTGCCATTCCTTTTGCCTCATCCCTCTCAACTATATAATATTTCAATTCCTCATCAATCCACGGGGATTTAACAGTTTTTACAGTCATTTTCTTAATGGGTGCATGCTTATTAGTAACTGGAATAAGCAATTTCATAAATGTGTCAAGTGCAGCGTCTGGTTGCTCCTCATTACACACCACGGACCAACATATATTATTTATATCAACAACATAGGAATCACTACAAAACGTATTGTATGACCTCTTATACACTATATTAGGCCCAGCCTTTGGAACTTTGGTTTTCCTAGATATGGCTACTATATTGTGATCACTACAGCCGATGGATCTGGAAACTGCTTTCAAGCACATTTCTGCAGCATTAGTAAAGATGTGATCAATACATGTTGTTGATTTCATTCCTGTGCTGTTTGTAACTACCCTGGTAGGTTGACTGATAACCTGAATCAGGTTGCAGGCACTGGTTACAGTTTGACGTTTTTTCTTGAGTGGGCAGCTTGATGAGAGCCAGTCAATATTTAAATCACCCAGAAAATGTGTTGATTACGTTTGCCCTGGAAGGCCCTTTCATGGGGATGTGTTCCTGAAAAGCCCTAGTTGTTCATCATGCAGCCAGCCAGTCTTTGAGAGCATGCTTTACAGAGATATAAATAGATCATATTGGTAGTTGATGCCTTGGCTTTTTCTTTGCAGTGTCGATCTCATACGTGGTCAGGTGATTTCTCCCAACAGATTTAGGCAGCACAGACAGGCTGCACATCTGTGAAGTACCAAATGTTACTGTTACATTAACCGTTTGTGTTCTGCAGAGAACTGAAGTACCAGTAGTACTGGGCGGCAGGTAGCTTAGTGGGTAAGAGCGTTGTGCCAGTAACCGAAAGGTCACTGGTTCTAATCCCCGAGCCGACTAGGTGAAAAATCTGTCGATGTGCCCTTGAGCAAGGCACTTAACCCTAATTGCTCATGTAAGTTGATAAGAGCGTCTGCTAAATGACTAAAATGTAAATGTACTATTACATTAACCCTTTGTGTTCTGTAGAGAACTGAAGTACCAAATGTTACTGTTACATTAGAATATAATTGATATATAACTGTATTCTCCATCAGAGGATTTCCCTTTTTCCTTTAACCCCTTCAATGCTTCTGCTACTTAAACTCTTCATACTATGTAGACCACTGAAGCACCAATGGCATCACTGCATTAACCCTTTCTTCCCCACTCGCAGGGCACTCTGCAGGAGGTGATTGGCTGGGGGCTGCTAGGCTGGAAGCTGTATGCCAACGTGAACGGGCCGGTGCAGTGCAAGGCCCTGTCAGGCCTGGGGGTCTCCCAGATAGTGTGTTCTGAGAAGGGCTTCCTCATCCTGGCCAGCAGTGGAGCCGTCTACACACAGAACTACAAGAGCACCACACTGGTAGGAAGCTTTCACTCACTGGAGCTCTGTCCTTCACTCCTTTTTAGGGCTGGGTGATATGGCCTGGAGCTCTGTCCTTCACTCCTTTTTAGGGCTGGGTGATATGGCCCGGAGCTCTGTCCTTCACTCCTTTTTAGGGCTGGGTGATATGGCCCGGAGCTCTGTCCTTCACTCCTTTTTAGGGCTGGGTGATATGGCCTGGAGCTCTGTCCTTCACTCCTTTTTAGGGCTGGGTGATATGGCCTGGAGCTCTGTCCTTCACTCCTTTTTAGGGCTGGGTGATATGGCCTGGAGCTCTGTCCTTCACTCCTTTTTAGGGCTGGGTGATATGGCCTGGAGCTCTGTCCTTCACTCCTTTTTAGGGCTGGGTGATATGGCCAAAACATCACAATATTTATGACGTATTGGACTGTATTTTATGTTTTTGAATAATACAAGTTCTAAGTATGTTTTATGAGTAGTTCATGACCCTAGGGTGGCAACATATAAATTACAAGTGATTTCAATGGGTCTTTCTCCATTTTGATTTGTTTTATACTGTTCAATCCAACTTCAAACTAAATCATTTCTTCAGTTCCTGCTCTTTTGTTATCATTTCCACACTGTGTCATGCAGCGCTGAATCTAGGCCCAGTTAAGTAGTGAACTGTTGGAACCATTATTCTAAATGAATAAACCAGGGAGGAATTATTCACACGGTAGGAACCAAAGTATTGGTCAGTGTTTCCCAGGGGACCCTAATTAGATGTTACATTACATGTTTTCTCTTACCTCATGTAGCTAGCTAACGAGGGCTGTCACCGAATATAAAAATTATTGGTTGACCAAGAGTCGTCTGTTCTTTCGACCAGTCGATTGGTCTAAATGTGAAAAACTTGTATTTTTCCATATATATAGACACATCCTATGTGTTTTAATCAAATCAACTATATGCACTGAGTTTGTCTGACGCTTTAAGCGAACTGTTTAATGAAATAATTAAGACACACAAATAACTAGAGGGAGTCTGACCGCAATTGATTTGATTGTGCCGGGCCTGGCTCAGTATTTCAGGAGGGGGGTCGTAGTTCCGTAGCGACCCACTAGGTGTCATCCTCCGACAACCTTAGGCACCTCCTCACACACAGTCTGGACTAATCATTATCCTATTGGTGTCACCTGTGTCTACCTGTTCACCTGTGTATTTATGGCCTCACTTCCCTGTGTTCCCTTGTTCAGTTTTCTCTGCTAGTTTCTCTATGTTCAGCAGTACTAATCAGTGTCTGATCGGAGAAGTATGTACAGTGAGGGAAAAAAGTATTTGATCCCCTGCTGATTTTGTACGTTTGCCCACTGACAAAGAAATGATCAGTCTATAATTTTAATGGTAGGTTTATTTGAGCAGTGAGAGACAGAATAACAACAACAAAATCCAGGAAAACGCATGAGTACCAAGCCACTGCTCCTGCGGTGTTCCAGGCGTTGGTCAATGACGTGCTCCGGGACCTCCTCGACTACAACGTCTTCGTGTATTTGGATGACATCCTAATATTTTCGATAGGACATGAGTGAACACCAGCATCACGTTCGGCAGGTCCTCCAACGCCTTCTCCGTCACCAGCTCTACGTCAAGGCGGAGAAGTGCGTGTTCCACACGGAGACAGTCTCCTTCCTGGGGTTCATCGCCACCCAGGGGGACCTACGGATGGACCCAGCCAAGGTCAGCGTGGTACTGGATTGGCCCCAGCCCTCATCCCTCAAGCAACTACAACGGTTTTTAGGGCTCGCAAATTTTTATAGCCGATTTATTCGCAATTTTAGCTCCCTAGCCGCTCCCCTGACAGCCCTCACCCAGACAAGCATACGCTCCTTCGCCTGGACCTACGGAAGCGGGGAACGCATTTGATGTGCTGAAGCGGCGCATTACATCGGCCCCGGTCCTAGGGCATCCTGATCCGTCCCTGCCGTTCATTGTGGAGGTGGATGCTTCAGACGTTACGGTGGGAGCAATCCTGTCCCAGCGGTTTCTCACGGACGGTAAGACTCACCCTTGCGCGTTTTTCTCCCGTCGGCTGTCCCCGGCGGAGCGGAATTATGACGTGAGGAACCGTGAGCTGCTAGCGGTCAAGCTCGACCTGGGGGAGTGGAGGCATTGGCTAGAGGGGGTCGCCCATCCATTCATCGTATGGATTGACCACAAGAACTTAGCCTACATTCAGGGGGCCAAGAGGCTCAACTCGCACCAGACCAGGTGGGTGTTGTTCTTTACCAGGTTCCGGTTCACCATCTCATACCGTCCGGGTTCGAAGAACACCAAGCCTGACGCGCTCTCCCGGCGGTTCGACCCCGTGGACCTGGTGGAGAGGGACGACCCCATTGTCCCCAACGCCCTGATGGCTGCCCCAGTTTCGTGGGGAATTGATAGGCTGGTCAGAGCAGCGCTACGGCGGGAGCCCGATCCGGGCGGAGTTCCATCGGGGAGGATGTACGTACCCAAGGCTGCGCGCTCGCGACTGCTTCAGTGGGCGTCCGACCTCACCAGCCACCCGGGGGGCGCCAGGACGTTGGAGCTCCTGCGTATGAGGTTCTGGTGGCCATCTGCTGAGGGGGAAACGCGCGCCTTCGTGGCTGCTTGCCCGGTGTGCGCACGCACGAAGAGCTCACGTCTGCCTACTGCCTGCTGTCTATCCTGCACCGCACCTGGGTCACACCTCACACCAACCCTCACACCAACCCTCACACCAACCCTCACACCAACCCTCACCCCAACCCTCACCCCAACCCTCACCCCAACCCTCACACCAACCCTCACACCAACCCTCACACCAACCCTCACCCCAACCCTCACCCTCACCCCAACCCTCACCCCAACCCTCACCCCAACCCTCACCCCAACCCTCACCCCAACCCTCACACCAACCCTCACACCAACCCTCACACCAACCCTCACCCCAACCCTCACACCAACCCTCACCCCAACCCTCACCCCAACCCTCACACCAACCCTCACACCAACCCTCACCCCAACCCTCACACCAACCCTCACACCAACCCTTACAGCTCAGACTGTGTTAAAAAGAAAGACAGTGACTGTGTGACTATCATCCGTTGTCTCTCTCTCCTCCACCACACATCAACAGTGTGTTGTCTCTCTCTCCTCCACCACACATCAACAGTGTGTATAGAAGCTGCAACATAATTATATTCATTTCTGACTGAAAAGTTATGTTAATGAAATCCCTAATTTGTTTAGGGAAAACATTCCTTATTCCCGCAACCCTCTCATGCTCTCATTAAAGAAGGTAAGGAGCGATGCCAAACAGGTGCTGTTAGATTATATTATCATTTTTCTGACCGTTTGGAACATTGTAAACAACGTTAAATAAATGATAAGCGTACCAGGGAGTCTGTTGTAACGTTTTTTTGTAAAGCGTTTGTTACAGCAAAGACTACAAACAGTCACATTCATTAATACAATTTCCGAAAATGGAACGGTTTAGGCCTATTTATTGTTTACGCTAATTATTCAATGGTCGCTTTATTTTATTTTTCAAACTAAAATGCTTGATTGCATTTCACATCATGAATGACTCGTGTGCTGTGTGATGACATGAACGAATAAATGATTGATTGATACAGAAGCCTATATAAGTATTGAACTACAGGCCTAAGTAAGTTACGGTATTAAGACTAAACAGGATGTGCTCTAAGGCCTACAGCTCCATGGTGGATATACAAGGCTGCTATACTAAGACTACTAATGATAATGACATTTCTTATTGTAATGATTATCATAATAATAATAATAATGAGATCAAGAAAAAGGAGGGTTATTATAATAATAATAATTTGGAACCGTGTAAACAACACTAAGTAAATTATAAATAATACCAGAGAGGCTGAGAAATTGTTATTACAGCATAGCAAAGATTAAAAACTGCCGAATTGTTGAAATTGTTGCGTGATGCTTGGTGCTTACAGAATCAGTAGGCTATTAAACAAACACTCAAACAGGCAACAGAAGCAGGATCTGTCTTATTTCTGTAGATGTACAGTACCAGTCAAAAGTTTGGACACACCTACTCATTCAAGGGTTTTTCTTTATTTTTACTATTTTCCACATTGTAGAATAATAGTGAAGACATCAAAACTTATGAAATAACACATATGGAATCATGTAGTAACCCAAAAAAGTGTTAAACAAATCAAAATATATTCTTCAAAGTAGCCACCCTTTGCCTTGATGACAGCTTTGCACACTCTTGGCATTCTCTCAACCAGCTTCACCTGGAATGGTTTTTCAACAGTCTTGAAGGAGTCCCCACATATGCTGAGCACTTGTTGGCTGCTTTTCCTTCACTCTGCGGTCCGACTCATCCCAAACCATCTCAATTGGGTTGAGGTCGGGGGATTGTGGAGGCCAGGTCATCTGATGCAGCACTCCATCACTCTCCTTCTTGGTCAAATAGCCCTTACACAGCCTGGAGGTGTGTTGGGTCATTGTCCTGTTGAAAAACAAGTGATAATCCCACTAAGTGCAAACCTGATGGGATAGTGTATCGCTGCAGAATGCTGTGGTAGCCATGCTGGTTAAGTGTGCCTTGAATTCTAAATAAATCACAGACTGTGTCACCAGCAAAGCACCCCCACACCATAACACCTCCTCCTCCATGCTTTACGGTAGGAACTACACATATGGAGATCATCCGTTCACCCACACCGCATCTCACAAAGACATGGCGGTTGGAACCAAAAATCTCAAATTTGGAATCCAGACCAAAGGACAGATTTCCACCGGTCTAATGTCCATTGCTCGTGTTTCTTGGCCCAAGCAAGTCTCTTCTTCTTATTGGTGTCCTTTAGTAGTGGTTTCTTTGCAGCAATTTGATCATGAAGGCCTGATTCACGCAGTCTCCTCTGAACAGTTGATGTTGAGATGTGTCTGTTACTTGAACTCTGTGAAGCATTTATTTGGGCTGCAATTTCTGAGGCTGGTAACTGTAATGAACTTACCCTCTGCAGCAGAGGTAACTCTGGGTCTTCCTTTCCTGTGGCGGTCCTCATGAGAGCCAGTTTCATCATAGCGCTTGATGGTTTTTGCGACTGCACTTGAATAAACTTTCAAAGTTCTTGAAATGTTCCGTATTGACTGACCTTCATGTCTTAAAGTAATGATGGACTGTTGTTTCTCTTTGCTTATTTGAGCTGTTCTTGCCATAATATGGACTTGGTCTTTTACCAAATAGGGCTATCTTCTGTATATGCTCAAACGCATTAAGAAGGAAATAAATTCCACAAATTAACTTTTAACAAGGTACACCTGTTAATTGAAATGCATTCCAGGTGACTACCTCATGAAGTTGGTTGAGAGAATGCCAAGAGTGTGCAAAGCTGTCATCAAGGCAAAGGGTGGCTACTTTGAAGAATCTCAAATATAAAATTATTCTACAATGTAGAAAATAGTAAAAATAAAGAAAAACCCTGGAATGATTAGGTGTGTCCAAACTTTGAACTGGTACTGTATATGGATGATTTCTAAAGCCAGGCGCATTTAAGTTAGGATATTGATTATAGACCTAATTAGGTTTCCTCTCCTCACTTTGTTCTTTTCGTCTCCTAACTCTGCTGCTGCCTCCGCCACATTGTTCTCAACACCAATATGCTGGTTAACTTTGCTATTATGCACATAGCAACATGGTCAAGGAAAAGGCGCCAATTCAACAGCACACCGATGTGTTTCAGAAGAGCAGACAGCGACCACTATCCAACCCGGGAGAAAGCGAAGCGACCGCTATCCAACCCGGGAGAAAGCGCAGCGACCACTCCGGGAGAAAGCGCAGCGACCGCTATCCAACCCGGGAGAAAGCGCAGCGACCGCTATCCAACCCGGGAGAAAGCGCAGCGACCGCTATCCAACCCGGGAGAAAGCGCAGCGACCGCTATCCAACCCGGGAGAAAGCGCAGCGACCGCTATCCAACCCGGGAGAAAGCGCAGCGACCGCTATCCAACCCGGGAGAAAGCGCAGCGACCGCTATCCAACCCGGGAGAAAGCGCAGCGACCGCTATCCAACCCGGGAGAAAGCGCAGCGACCGCTATCCAACCCGGGAGAAAGCGCATCTGGTATAAAATAAAATGATTAGTGTTGCACCATTGTTCCTACGTAATATAACCATAAACAATTTCAGTATCACATGTCTTAGAGTGATGGACTGTGCCATCCACACAACCTCCACAATGGATCAGTCCACTCAGACAGGCCTCCACAATGGATCAGTCCGCTCAGACAGGCCTCCACAATGGATCAGTCCACTCAGACAGGCCTCCACAATGGATCAGTCCGCTCAGACAGGCCTCCACAATGGATCAGTCCACTCAGACAGGCCTCCACAATGGATCAGTCCGCTCAGACAGGCCTCCACAATGGATCAGTCCACTCAGACAGGCCTCCACAATGGATCAGTCCACTCAGACAGGCCTCCACAATGGATCAGTCCGCTCAGACAGGCCTCCACAATGGATCAGTCCACTCAGACAGGCCTCCACAATGGATCAGTCCACTCAGACAGGCCTCCACAATGGATCAGTCCACTCAGACAGGCCTCCACAATGGATCAGTCCGCTCAGACAGGCCTCCACAATGGATCAGTCCACTCAGACAGGCCTCCACAATGGATCAGTCCACTCAGACAGGCCTCCACAATGGATCAGTCCGCTCAGACAGGCCTCCACAATGGATCAGTCCGCTCAGACAGGCCTCCACAATGGATCAGTCCACTCAGACAGGCCTCCACAATGGATCAGTCCGCTCAGACAGGCCTCCACAATGGATCAGTCCGCTCAGACAGGCCTCCACAATGGATTAGTCCGCTCAGACAGGCCTCCACAATGGATCAGTCCACTGAGACAGGCCTCCACAATGGATTAGTCCACTCAGACAGGCCTCCACAATGGATCAGTCCACTGAGACAGGCCTCCACAATGGATCAGTCCGCTCAGACAGGCCTCCACAATGGATCAGTCCGCTCAGACAGGCCTCCACAATGGATTAGTCCACTCAGACAGGCCTCCACAATGGATCAGTCCACTGAGACAGGCCTCCACAATGGATCAGTCCACTCAGACAGGCCTCCACAATAGAAGGTCAAGTAAAATTCCAAACCGGTCTGTGCATCAATACCGGCATATAGGACTTTTGGTCGTGTAGTGTATGTTAATCTCAAAATTCAAAAGGCACTCGCACATCTGAGCTATCTTTGTTGCAGGTGCCATGGTAACAGTTGAATAAGATGAGAAAAAAAAGAAACCTGCACACTGCTCTTGATAGTATCACTGCTCTTGATTCTTGATAGAATCACTGCTCTTGATAGTATCACTGCTCTTGATTCTTGATAGAATCACTGCTCTTGATAGTATCACTGCTCTTGATTCTTGATATAATCACTGCTCTTGATAGTATCACTGCTCTTGATAGTGTCACTGCTCTTGATAGTATCACTGCTCTTGATAGTATCACTGCTCTTGATTCTTGATAGAATCACTGCTCTTGATAGTGTCACTGCTCTTGATAGTGTCACTGCTCTTGATAGTGTCACTGCTCTTGATAGTGTCACTGCTCTTGACAGTGTCACTGCTCTTGATAGTGTCACTGCTCTTGATAGTGTCACTGCTCTTGATAGTGTCACTGCTCTTGATAGTGTCACTGCTCTTGACAGTGTCACTGCTCTTGATAGTGTCACTGCTCTTGATAGTGATACTGCTCTTGATAGTGATACTAGCAAGAGCAGTGTATGTTTATCTCCAGAGGGATATCGGTTTTTCATACAGCAGCTGTTCAGTTCAGCTGTAATCAAAACGGTAGAAGCTGATGAGGATATGATTGTTGTCCTACTAGGCTCCCATGCTGGTCCATGCCCTGACCTCCAGGAAGATAGTGAAGCTGGCAGCTCATCCAGACGGGCAGCACTATCTGGCCCTGTCGGCCAATGGAGAGGTCTTCTCCTGGGGCTGTGGAGACGGGGGCCGCCTGGGGCATGGAGACACCACGTAATTTACTACACTACACTCAAAAACATGGAAATGATTTATGAACCAGAGTAGAAATGTGTGACCAGATTTCTTCTGTATGTCTACTAAGTTCAGTGAGTCTGCACCTCATAAATTATAGTCCAGTTACAGTCTGAGACCACATAAGTTACATTTAGGTCACCAGTGAGCCACACCAGCTCACCACCAGCATATCCTGCCAGATACAGCCTGTTCTCAGCCTATACCTCTGCTCCTACCTGTCCTAGGTATCATAACCTGTTCCTCTCCTCTCCCCCACCAGGTATCTGGAGGAGCCAGCGGTGATCACAGCGTTCACAGGGAAGCAGACCGGGAAGCACGTGGTGCATGTAGCCTGTGGAAGCACCTACAGCGCGGCTATCACAGCTGACGGAGAGCTGTACACCTGGGGCAGGGGCAACTACGGACGTCTGGGACACGGTGAGCATCCTGTTCTCCTGGTCTACACAATACTGGGCTAACCCTAACCACTGCTGGACTAAACCTAACCCTAACCACTGCTGGACTAAACCTAACCCTAACCACTGCTGGACTAAACCTAACCCTAACCACTGCTGGACTAAACCTAACCCTAACCACTGCTGGACTAAACCTAACCCTAACCACTGCTGGACTAAACCTAACCCTAACCACTGCTGGACTAAACCTAACCCTAACCACTGCTGGACTAAACCTAACCCTAACCACTGCTGGACTAAACCTAACCCTAACCACTGCTGGACTAAACCTAACCCTAACCACTGCTGGACTAAACCTAACCCTAACCACTGCTGGACTAAACCTAACCCTAACCACTGCTGGACTAAACCTAACCCTAACCACTGCTGGACTAAACCTAACCCTAACCACTGCTGGACTAAACCTAACCCTAACCACTGCTGGACTAAACCTAACCCTAACCACTGCTGGACTAAACCTAACCCTAACCACTGCTGGACTAAACCTAACCCTAACCACTGCTGGACTAAACCTAACCCTAACCACTGCTGGACTAAACCTAACCCTAACCACTGCTGGACTAAACCTAACCCTAACCACTGCTGGACTAAACCTAACCCTAACCACTGCTGGACTAAACCTAACCCTAACCACTGCTGGACTAAACCTAACCCTAACCACTGCTGGACTAAACCTAACCCTAACCACTGCTGGACTAAACCTAACCCTAACCACTGCTGGACTAAACCTAACCCTAACCACTGCTGGACTAAACCTAACCCTAACCACTGCTGGACTAAACCTAACCCTAACCACTGCTGGACTAAACCTAACCCTAACCACTGCTGGACTAAACCTAACCCTAACCACTGCTGGACTAAACCTAACCCTAACCACTGCTGGACTAAACCTAACCCTAACCACTGCTGGACTAAACCTAACCCTAACCACTGCTGGACTAAACCTAACCCTAACCACTGCTGGACTAAACCTAACCCTAACCACTGCTGGACTAAACCTAACCCTAACCACTGCTGGACTAAACCTAACCCTAACCACTGCTGGACTAAACCTAACCCTAACCACTGCTGGACTAAACCTAACCCTAACCACTGCTGGACTAAACCTAACCCTAACCACTGCTGGACTAAACCTAACCCTAACCACTGCTGGACTAAACCTAATCCTAACCACTCCTGGACTAAACCTAACCCTAACCACTGCTGGACTAAACCTAACCCTAACCACTGCTGGACTAAACCTAACCCTAACCACTGCTGGACTAACCCTAACCACTGCTGGACTAAACCTAACCCTAACCACTGCTGGACTAAACCTAACCATTCAGAGCTGCACTTTAAACTCTGTGACTTTATTATAAGGACAAGCATAGCTTTCAATTCACTATCATGATATTAAACATCAGCTAATGTATTAGAATGATGGCCTTGAGTCTGGGCCTGTGACTGACCATGTTCTCGCTCTCCTCCGTGTCTCTGTCTGGGCCTGTGACTGACCATGTTCTCGCTCTCCCCCGTGTCTCTGTCTGGGCTTGTGACTGACCATGTTCTCGCTCTCCTCCGTGTCTCTGTAGGTTCCAGCGAGGACCAAACTATTCCCATGCTGGTGACGGCTCTAAAAGGAATGAAGGTGCTGGATGTGGCGTGTGGCAGTGGAGACGCCCAGACCCTGGCTGTCACAGAGAACGGTGAGACACTAGGATCATTTACTATAGACTACAGGGGACTGAGACACTAGGATCATTAACTATATACTACTGGGGACTGAGACACTAGGATCATTAACTATGGACTACAGGGGACTGAGACACTAGGATCATTAACTATGGACTACAGGGGACTGAGACACTAGGATCATTAACTATAGACTACAGGGGACTGAGACACTAGGATCATTAACTATAGACTACAGGGGACTGAGACACTAGGATCATTAACTATAGACTACAGGGGACTGAGACACTAGGATCATTAACTATAGACTACAGGGGACTGAGACACTAGGATCATTAACTATAGACTACAGGGGACTGAGACACTAGGATCATTAACTATATACTACTGGGGACTGAGACACTAGGATCATTAACTATGGACTACAGGGGACTGAGACACTAGGATCATTAACTATGGACTACAGGGGACTGAGACACTAGGATCATTAACTATGGACTACAGGGGACTGAGACACTAGGATCATTAACTATGGACTACAGGGGACTGAGACACTAGGATCATTAACTATGGACTACAGGGGACTGAGACACTAGGATCATTAACTATAGACTACAGGGGACTGAGACACTAGGATCATTAACTATGGACTACAGGGGGACTGAGACACTAGGATCATTAACTATATACTACAGGGGACTGAGACACTAGGATCATTAACTATATACTACAGGGGACTGAGACACTAGGATCATTAACTATATACTACAGGGGACTGAGACACTAGGATCATTAACTATGGACTACAGGGGACTGAGACACTAGGATCATTAACTATGGACTACAGGGGACTGAGACACTAGGATCATTAACTATGGACTACAGGGGACTGAGACACTAGGATCATTAACTATGGACTACAGGGGACTGAGACACTAGGATCATTAACTATGGACTACAGGGGACTGAGACACTAGGATCATTAACTATGGACTACAGGGGACTGAGACACTAGGATCATTAACTATGGACTACAGGGGACTGAGACACTAGGATCATTAACTATGGACTACAGGGGACTGAGACACTAGGATCATTAACTATAGACTACAGGGGACTGAGACACTAGGATCATTAACTATGGACTACAGGGGACTGAGACACTAGGATCATTAACTATATACTACAGGGGACTGAGACACTAGGATCATTAACTATGGACTACAGGGGACTGAGACACTAGGATCATTAACTATAGACTACAGGGGACTGAGACACTAGGATCATTAACTATGGACTACAGGGGACTGAGACACTAGGATCATTAACTATATACTACAGGGGACTGAGACACTAGGATCATTAACTATATACTACAGGGGACTGAGACACTAGGATCATTAACTATGGACTACAGGGGACTGAGACACTAGGATCATTAACTATGGACTACAGGGGACTGAGACACTAGGATCATTAACTATGGACTACAGGGGACTGAGACACTAGGATCATTAACTATGGACTACAGGGGACTGAGACACTAGGATCATTAACTATATACTACAGGGGACTGAGACACTAGGATCATTAACTATAGACTACAGGGGACTGAGACACTAGGATCATTAACTATGGACTCTTTACTATAGACTCTTTACTGGGCCTTATCCTTCACTGTCATATGTTAATTCATGTGACACAGACTTTTTGATTGAAAGTTGTTAGACAGAGTATTTGCGTGTAGTGGACAGAGTATTTGCCTGTAGCAGACAAAGTATTTGCGTGTAGCAGACAGAGTATTTGCCTGTAGCAGACAGAGTATTTGCGTGTAGTGGACAGAGTATTTGCGTGTAGCAGACAGAGTATTTGCGTGTAGCGGACAGAGTATTTGCGTGTAGCGGACAGAGTATTTGCGTGTAGCAGACAGAGTATTTGCGTGTAGCAGACAGAGTATTTGCGTGTAGCAGACAGAGTATTTGCGTGTAGCAGACAGAGTATTTGCGTGTAGCAGACAGAGTATTTGCGTGTAGCAGACAGAGTATTTGCGTGTAGCAGACAGAGTATTTCCTGACATTCTGAAGCTGTCACACTTTTTCCATATTTGACCCCATTGTAATGTTAGCTCCTTAACACCCTCCATCTCTTGTCTCTCCGTTTAGGCCAGGTGTGGTCGTGGGGGGATGGGGACTATGGGAAGCTGGGTCGTGGAGGCAGCGACGGCTGCAAGACCCCTAAACTGGTGGAGAAGCTCCAGGACCTGGACATAGTGAAGGTGTGCTGTGGGAGTCAGTTCTCTGTAGCACAGACTAAGGATGGACAGGTGTACACCTGGGGGAAGGGAGACAACCAGCGCCTCGGCCACGGCACCGACGAACATGTCCGCTACCCAAAACTGCTGGACAGTCTACAAGGTTAGTAGCTCAGTAATCCATAGGGTCGCAACGTTATTGTTTACTGCAATTCTAGTGGGGAGGATTCCTTGTTGGAGTATTCCCATTCAATCCTGATTCCAGAATTCTCCAACCAGGCCTCGAATTTCCCGGCGTCGCCGTAAATGCCCCCTGAAAAATGGCATGCCTTACCGCCAAAGTGTATTTTGTGCCCTTGGGCTGAATATAATAATTATAAGTCACTTCTCGGGGCTGCCAATCGCCGTTCCCCCGAAGCACCTCTCACTCACATGGCTCTGTCAGATATCTCCATTTTTATTAGCCAATGCCCCCACGTGATCAGGTCCTTCTCACAGGCATCTCAGCTCCGAAGTAGGCTACAAGTGAAGACGGGTTCATCAGGGATGCAACGGCGTGCGTCCTTCTTATCCAATTCCGAGGCACATATTGAAGATATTGGAAGAACTGTCCACATGTACTTTTCGTCAGCCAATAAGATGAGTAGGCCTACCGAACAGCAAAATCACTTGCCCATGTCAATCTACGATCCCCCATAGTACAAAAGTTGACCTATTCTATTGGTCAGCTTGTCCTTCTGTGCGAGAAATAAAATAAAAATGTTCTGGGACACGATAGATCCCAAATTAATACAACCACTATATCAAAAACCTTTTAAAACCAATGAGGCTGATGTAACACATCAGAACGTTTAGCTTAAAATGTTGAGAAACTATTAGGCTATTTCTTCACTTTATAAATGCAGCAATGCGCACGCGGCAGAAGGCTATGAGCGCGAAAACACGGTTCTCAAATGTGCGCCGCAAATGCGAGCGGTTTCATATGACAGAGTTTTATTTTTATTTAACGAGGCAAGTCAGTTAAGAACACATTCTTATTTACAATGACGGCCTACCATAAAGGCAAAAGGCCTCCTGCGGGGACGGGGGCTGGGATTAAAAATAAAAATACAGGACAAAACACACATCACGACAAGAGAGACACCACAACACTACATAAAGAGAGACGCCACAACACTACATAAAGAGAGACACCACAACACTACATAAAGAGAGACAACACTACATAAAGAGAGACACCACAGCACTACATAAAGAGAAACACCACAGCACTACATAAAGAGAGACACCACAACACTACATAAAGAGAGACACCACAACACTACATAAAGAGAGACGCCACAACACTACATAAAGAGAGACACCACAACACTACATAAAGAGAGACGCCACAACACTACATAAAGAGAGACGCCACAACACTACATAAAGAGAGACGCCACAACACTACATAAAGAGAGACGCCACAACACTACATAAAGAGAGACACCACAACACTACATAAAGAGAGACGCCACAACACTACATAGAGAGACACCACAACACTACATAAAGAGAGACACCACAACACTACATAAAGAGAGAGACACCACAACACTACATAAAGAGAGACGCCACAACACTACATAAAGAGAGACACCACCACACTACATAAAGAGAGACACCACCACACTACATAAAGAGAGACACCACAACACTACATAAAGAGAGACACCACAACACTACATAAAGAGAGACGCCACAACACTACATAAAGAGAGACACCACAACACTACATAAAGAGAGACACCACAGCACTACATAAAGAGAGACACCACAACACTACATAAAGAGAGACACCACAACACTACTAAAGAGAGACGACCCAACACTACATAAGAGAGACACCACAACACTACATAAAGAGAGACACCACAACACTACATAAAGAGAGACACCACAACACTACATAAAGAGAGACGCCACAACACTACATAAAGAGAGACACCACAACACTACATAAAGAGAGACAACCACAACACTACATAAAGAGAGACCCACAACACTACATAAAGAGACACCACAACACTACCATAAAGAGAGACACCACAACACTACATAACGAGAGACACCACAACACTACATAAAGAGAGACACCACAACACTACATAAAGAGAGACCACCACAACACTACATAAAGAGAGACACCACACCACTACTAAGAAGACACCACAACACTACATAAAGAGAGACGCCACAACACTACATAAAGAAGACACCACCCCACTACATAAAGAAGACGCCACAACACTACATAAAGAGAGACGCCACAAACACTACATAAAGAGACACCACAACACTACATAAAGAGACACCCACAACACTACATAAAGAGAGACACCACAACACTACATAAAAGAACACCACAAACACTACATAAAGAGAGACACCACAACACTACTAAAGAGAGACACCACAACAACACTACATAAAGAGAGAACCACCACAACACTACATAAAGAGAGACACCACAACACTACATAAAGAGAGACACCACAACACTACATAAAGAGAGACACCACAACACTACATAAAGAGAGCACCACAACACTACATAAAGAGAACACCACACACTACATAAGAAGACGCCACAACACTACATAAAGAGAGAGCCACAACACTACATAAAAGAGACGCCACAACACTACAAAAGAGACACCACAACACAACACTACATCAAGAACGTCCACAACACTACATACAAGAGACACCACAACACTACATAAAGAGAGACACCACAACACTACATAAAGAGAGACACCACAACACTACATAAAGAGAGACACCACAACACTACATAAAGAGAGACACCACAACACTACATAAAGAGAGACACCACAACACTACATAAAGAGAGACACCACAACACTACATAAAGAGAGACACCACAACACTACATAAAGAGAGACTCCACAACACTACATAAAGAGAGACGCCACAACACTACATAAAGAGAGACGCCACAACACTACATAAAGAGAGACGCCACAACACTACATAAAGAGAGACGCCACAACACTACATAGAGACGCCACAACACTACATAAAGAGAGACACCACAACACTACATAAAGAGAGACACCACAACACTACATAAAGAGAGACACCACAACACTACATAAAGAGAGACGCCACAACACTACATAAAGAGAGACGCCACAACACTACATAGAGACACCACAACACAACACTACATACAGAGAGACGCCACAACACTACATACAGAGAGACACCACAACACTACATAAAGAGAGACACCACAACACTACATAAAGAGAGACACCACAACACTACATAAAGAGAGACACCACAACACTACATAAAGAGAGACAACACTACATAAAGAGAGACACCACAGCACTACATAAAGAGAGACACCACAACACTACATAAAGAGAGACACCACAACACTACATAAAGAGAGACGCCACAACACTACATAAAGAGAGACACCACAACACTACATAAAGAGAGACGCCACAAACACTACATAAAGAGAGACGCCACAACAACTACATAAAGAGAGACGCCACAACACTACATAAAGAGAGACACCACAACACTACATAAAGAGAGACACCACAACACTACATAAAGAGAGACGCCACAACACTACATAAAGAGAGACACCACAACACTACATAAAGAGAGACGCCACAACACTACATAAAGAGAGACGCCACAACACTACATAAAGAGACACCACAACACTACATAAAGAGAGACACCACAACACTACATAAAGAGAGACACCACAACACTACATAAAGAGACACCACAACACTACATAAAGAGAGACACCACAACACTACATAAAGAGAGACACCACAACACTACATAAAGAGAGACACCACAACACTACATAAAGAGAGACACCACAACACTACATAAAGAGAGACACCACAACACTACATAAAGAGAGACGCCACAACACTACATAAAGAGAGACGCCACAACACTACATAAAGAGAGCCAACTACAAAGGAGACACCACAACACTACATAAAGAGAGACGCCACAACACTACATAAAGAGAGACACCACAACACTACATAAAGAGAGACCCACAACACTACATAAAGAGAGACACCACAACACTACATAAAGAGAGACACCACAACACTACATAAAGAGAGACACCACAACACTACATAAAGAGAGACACCACAACACTACATAAAGAGAGACACCACAACACTACATAAAGAGAGACACCACAACACTACATAAAGAGAGACACCACAACACTACATAAAGAGAGACACCACAAACACTACATAAAGAGAGACGCCACAACACTACATAAAGAGAGACGCCACAACACTACATAAAGAGAGACGCCACAACACTACATAAGAGAGACGCCACACAACACTACATAAAGAGAGACACCACAACACAACACTACATACAGAGAGACGCCACAACACTACATACAGAGAGACACCACAACACTACATAAAGAGAGACACCACAACACTACATAAAGAGAGACACCCACAACACTACATAAAGAGAGACACCACAACACTACATAAAGAGAGACACCACAACACTACATAAAGAGAGACACCACAACACTACATAAAGAGAGACACCACAACACTACATAAAGAGAGACACCACAACACTACATAAAGAGAGACTCCACAACACTACATAAAGAGAGACGCCACAACACTACATAAAGAGAGACGCCACAACACTACATAAAGAGAGACGCCACAACACTACATAAAGAGAGACGCCACAAACACTACATAGAGACGCCACAACACTACATAAAGAGAGACACCACAACACTACATAAAGAGAGACACCACAACACTACATAAAGAGAGACACCACAACACTACATAAAGAGAGACGCCACAACACTACATAAAGAGAGACGCCACAACACTACATAGAGACACCACAACACAACACTACATACAGAGAGACGCCACAACACTACATACAGAGAGACACCACAACACTACATAAAGAGAGGACACCACAACACTACATAAAGAGAGACACCACAACACTACATAAAGAGAGACACCACAACACTACATAAAGAGAGACAACACTACATAAAGAGAGACACCACAGCACTACATAAAGAGAGACACCACAAC